TGGCTGGAGAACCAGTCTGCCACTAGATTGTCTGGGATTGGTAGATATTCTGCCCGAAGAGAGATGTTCCTGGCCAAACAGAACTGATAAGAGTTCTTTTGTCAAATTCGAAAGGAGTTTAGAGTGGGAGCCCCCCCTAATCAATTTACGTGGCGGACAGAGGATACATTGTCCATCCGTAGAATCAGGAAGCAGTTGTAGGCATCCTTTGCAAGATTGCGTACTGAGAAGGAGCCTGCAATCAATTTGAGGCAATTTATGTGAAGATTCTGCTTTGATGGAGTCCAAAATCCCCCGGTACATATGTTGGAGCATGTCGCTCCCCAACCTGTGAGACTGGCATCCGATTCCAGGATGCAGTCTGGTTGCGAACCGAATATGGCTCTCCCGTTCCAAGCCTCCATGTTGTGGAGCCGCCAATCCAGTTCCAGTCTGACGTCTTCGGTCAGGGAGATCAGTTGATCGTATGAAGATGGCCTGAATTGAGGCTGACAAAAGACCTATGATTCTTGCCTCGCGGAGGTGGATGCGAGGAAAACCTAGGAGTCTCCGAATGTCCTTTTTTATTGTTTTTATTTTGGAGAGTGGGAATTGGAGAACAGATTGAACAGAGTCTATCTGAAAACCCAGGAATTGTATGGTCTGTGATGGGAGAAGAAAAAACTTCGACGTTTATTACGAATCCTCAATTCTATGCGGTGCGGTGGTCATTTCCGTGTGTACACAGAGAGTATGAGGGTCCTGAGCCAAAATGAGGGTGTCGTCCAGATAGATGATGGACCTGACCCCCTGAGATCGCAAGAGGGCCATAACCGGTTTCATGAGTTTCATGAAACACCATGGGGTGGATGAGAGCCTGAATGGGAGGCAAGTGAACTGCCAAAGGAATTGGAGGTAAACTCGATGAGAATCGGTAATTGGAATCATGAGGACGTGAGGTCAAAGCAGCATAACCAGTCTCTCTCGCAGAGCAGGTTGCGTAGAAGGTGTATCTCTTCCATCTTGAAGTGTTGATAAACGACAGATGGGTTTAAATCTCAAGATTGGGTCTTATTGAGTGAATTAAAAATGCTAACCTGTTTATTCAGTTCCCTAATAAACTTATTACCAAATAAAAGGCCATTAGCCTCTGGACCTAGTTCTCTTGAACCTAATTCTGCCAGTAGAGATGCACCGAAATGAAAATTCTGGGCCAAAACCAAAACTTCAAGATGGCCTTGTCCGAAAACCAAAACCGAAAATTACTTTTTTCCCCAAATGATTTTAACTCCTTAAGGACACATGACATGTGTAACATGTCATGATTCCCTTTTATTCCAGAAGTTTGGTCCTTAAGGGGTTAAAATAGTTTTTTCTATAATTTTATTAATATTAGACTATTAGACACAGTGTGGGAGGTGGTGGCTGGTGACAGAGTGACTAAGAGAGGGGGTGACTGGTGACAGAGACAGGGAGGGGGTGACAGAGTGACTGAGGGAGTGGGTGACTGGTGACAGTGACTGAGGGAGGGGGTGACTGGTGACAGTGACTGAGGGAGGGAGTGACTGGTGACAGTGACTGAGGGAGGGAGTGACTGGTGCTAGAGCGAGGGTGTTAGAAATACAATAGTTTCTATCTATCTCCATTACTGACAATGAAGGAGGTGCTCAGTTACAGAAAGTTGCTGAATACAACAATGTGGATTTTAACATTTAATTTTATATCACAGCTATTACAAACACATCTTTGTTAAACATTAAGGAAAACTTTTAATCAAATTAAAAAATAAATAATTTAAATTAAGAATATTACAGGGCAGCACTTTTCCTGTGGGACCCACTCTCTATGTAGAAATGATATGTGTCCAAGAAAAATGGTGCATTTAGCAATCCTAAAGCTAGCCCCTGCTTCCTCCCTCCTGGTCTAGAACGCCAGTTGAGGATGTGTGGGCCTCTGTGTAACATGTAAGATTCCATTCACGAAAAGGGGGTGTGTTTTTTTTTCACTTGGATTCATAGCTGCTCTGTGGTTTCCTGTAATCTCCCCCATCCACCCCACTGCCCCTGTTTGACGCACACATTGCTCGTAGAAGGGGCCACCTGATGGGTGGGTCAGAGAGCCGAGTCCCGCAGCCTGCTCCTCGGCGGTACCCGAGACCCCCCTCCGCCGCCGGACTCGGATGGTGAATCCTGGGATCCCAGGTAACAGCTGGAAAGTGAACGGCAGCCACGTTCAATGGTTTCCCTCCCCCGTGGGATTCCCTTTGACAGGTACCGTCCGGAGGACCTCCCTGTACACTATTCCCCACCAGGGCCGGTCCCTGCGGGCAGCCCAGACTGGGGACACCGGGCACAGCCCGCTCACTGCTCACCTGGAAACGGCACAGGAGCTTCCTCACCTGGGATCTGTGTCATGGGGGCTGTCAGTGACGGCAATGCTGGGGCTGTCAGTGGAGGCAGTGCCGGGTTGGGGGGCTGTCAATAGGAAATTAAATTTTCGTCAGATTTGACCGATTTGAAGCCGAAATGGGATAGGTCCATTTTCGGCCAAAATTTCAGTGCATCCCTATCTGCCAGCTTAGCATCTATCTTTTATAGAACGGCTTTATGCCGTTCTGTAGATAAGGCCACATTGGCATTGCCCAAAAAGACAGAGTGCTCGCGGATCAAAAGAATTATTGGAAAGGGCTTCTGCTAAAATAAAAATTTGAATAAACGGTCTGGCAATGTCAAGCAGTTTGTCTTGAATGGCTTTTAAGCCCTGCTCTATGCCCTTGCGAGGGTCCTTGCCAGATCTGGTGAGAAATGTGACCAGGATAGGGTCAAACTCTGGTGTAAGAGCGACTTTATCAGGAATAATTGGTCGCAGGCATTAGACTCAGAGTTTATTCCTGACCTCTTTATCAAGAGGTTTACAGAGCCATAGTCTACAGAAAAGGGTAATTTGCTCAGGTGGTGCCCATTCAGCTGAGCGTGGGTGTTTAATCAACCTTGGGTCAAAAAAAATGGTGGCCCTGGGAATCCAGCAAGATGTCAGATGACTGGTCTTGCTGTGATATAGTAGTAGGGGTGTGGGTGTGAGAAACGATAGTTTATTTAACAAATTGCGAAGGGGTATGTGGAAGTCTTGGGAAGTGGATCCCTCTAAAGGGTCCAAATCATGGAGTCCTGGTCTTAGATCTTACGCAATCTAGGGATTTTTGCTGGCACCTTGCCGTTACCGGCTGATACGCTATTTCCCTTCCAGGGGCAATTGCAGGGGGAGGTGGGGATGCTTCATGATCTGAAGGATCCTGAGATTCATCAGAGTCTGAAATGTGCTGTAAAGCGGGTTTAGGATTGAGGGTAGGTTGCTCCTGTAGGGCAGCCAGGGCCTTGGGAATTGTGTGTGCAATAGGAGAGAAAAGCCAGGCCTTTAACTGAAATAAAGGGATCTGGTTCTTCAGCCGTAATAACCAGTAAAAAATGTTTTGTTGTTGTTTTTTTAGTAACTATATACACAACTAATTGGGGGTCACCAAGAAATCAGAGGTGTATCAGAGGGGAAATTCTATTCCATGGGAGCAAGTTAAAAATTTCAGATCAAAATGGAATTAATGTTGAGTAAACAAAACTTGTGTAAGAAGTTATCCATCTGGAACACCTGTTGGGAACTCATAGAAGATGGGGGTAGAAGAATAGACTAATAGGTAATTCTAAGCAGATCAGTGTCACTACAAATCCCTACTATATAGTTCATATCTGCCTCACCTACTCCTGTGAGCTAGCCTCTACTGACCACAGGAAAAAAAAGAGTAACCTAAGTTACCAGTGCTATTCAATGTTTTATTCAATGGTGCAAACGCTACGGACGTGACAGTCCCCCCTTTAAATAATTGAAAATTAATTTTCATTTTATCGTTGATCTGAGATTTAGCCACATCCCTCTAGGTGCATATCAGTCTCTCTCAAGCTTACTTCTGTCTTTTTATGACATGTTTATGCAAGCTTTCCTGTCAAATACTATGTTAGTACCAGTCTATTGAATACCACTTCAGTTTAATTTTGCATAGATATATTCTTCAACCTGTGTAGTGCTAATTAGGCAGGATCCCATACACCTGATTAATATTTATACTCACGATCTGGGATAAGATATGAAAAGGGAAAAGCACATTCCTGTTAATGTTGCTACTCCACTCTAACATCAACCAAAGATAACAGCCTAATCAGTTTTATTTTTCAAATTACTTTGCTCTTGTCATTCGTGAACAATTAGTTTTTTTTCTAAGAAATTTTACCCTAGTCAGAGCGCTAAAGCTGCCGATTAAGCAGAATAAAGTAGATCTATTTGTCACTATTTGAGTGAATAGGACCCTTAGAAATCCCATTTATTGCTCACTTTGTACCCTAATGCTGGTTTGTTGATGTAGTCATAGATTTGGGTTACCAACTAATTAAGCAGTCAGGGTTGTGATGCTTGCTAACTAAACAGCAAGTTATAGTGAGCATACTCCCATGTAACACTGAGATATTAAATTAAAACTGCAATACAAAGCTTTCATATATTTTAGCCTGGATATGCCTTATTTTGTAATGCATACATATAAGCAAAAATCCATGCCTGCAGCCATTTCTAAATCCCCTTAGGTCAATCTAAGACAATCTAAGACCACAGATATTCCAAGAGCTAACGCGTATTCATAATTGCAGTTGTCATGCTCAAGTGACAAGAATCTCAAAAATGCCCATTTAGACATTGTACATCAACTTTGCAAGTACATGGTGCATCAAAGCAAAAAAGACTTAAAGATGGCTGTCCTCACAGAGCCTTGAGATGCAATGAAAAATACAAAATAATGCTTATCCAAGCTATAATACATATAAACATTTACTTTCAAAAATAAAAAATTATGGGGGGCGGAGCCTGCGCTCGAACGGAATGGCCGCGTGAGAGGAGAGCTCCCGAGCCGACGGCTAAACACAGCGGCACAATCAGCATCTTACCGGCACATATACTCCCCAGAGTGGGGTACTGCCATCATGTCACAGAGGGGAGCACGGAGGGTGACCGATGCCAAGGAAAAACATTCGTTTTTTGCCGCGAAAACGGCAAGCCACAAGTCACAGGCTCAGACAGGACAAGATGGCGACGGCAGTGGAGATGAACAGGAAATTCCCCAGCCACATTCCCCACAACAGCCTGCTCCCAGCACCATGCAAATACATGGTGAGCAGTTCCAGACAATGTTAGATGACATGGCTGCAAAAATACAAACGACAGTCCATGCTGCAATAGCGGACCTAAAGAAAGATATTGCCGACATAGGAAACCGTACAGCCCACATGGAAAATAAAATGGCGGAATATGCCGAAGCACACAACAGCATGGCGGAAAAAATTGAGGAGCTGGAAGCAAAGCTTGAGAAGCAAGAAGTAAAAAACATGGACCTTGAGGACAGATCCAGGCGCCAAAATCTCCGGGTGAGAGGTATACCTGAAGACGTACAGGCTCCAGACCTCATGACGTACCTCACAGACCTGTTCCATACCTTGGCTCCTGATATCCCAATCGACATGCTACTCATGGATAGGGCGCACAGGGTAGCAAAGCCACAACATCTGCCAGCCTCAATACCGAGGGACGTGATGCTCAGACTACACTACTATCACGTAAAAGAATCCCTCCTGCGCTCCAAGAAACCTCAACAAGATCTATCGGACCGATATAAAGAGGTCCAGATATACGCAGACCTTTCGGCCGAAACTCTTAGACGCAGGAAAACCTTCAAGGACGTCACAGCTGAACTCAGGAACAGGAAAATTCCGTACCGCTGGGGATTCCCAATCAAGCTATTGATCCTACGAGACGGCAAGACCCAAATCGCCTCAACAGCAGAAGAAGGAACCCGGCTGCTGCGCTCTTGGGGCATCTCTCTAGCTACAAACAGAGACAAACCAATCAAACGGCCGACATTGCACCAAGAATGGCAGACGGTGAAACACTCCAAAACGCCGAAACATACCGCAGCACAGTGATGGAAGCCAAGGGATGACGAATGACATCCATGCGGAGAGAACTAAGCAACATACACCATAGACATTGCTAATCTTTCTCAGGGACTTTGGGACACTGTTCACTGTCGACCAAGGGAAGCACGACGGGAGAGGGTAATATAATCGCTACACCTGTATTTGTGCTAACACTATAGATCAATAATCCATATTTGCAGAGAAAAGGGGGAGGGGGACACGGGAGGGGGGAGAGGAACTGGGAGTGAAGGGGCAGCAGGAGGGGAAGCTAACCCATCATGGGGCAGGGACCCCGTCTAGACAGCAAGACACGACCCACGCGGGATGGTCTCCGTCACTGCAGCCCCCCCTGAAAACATACCCACTAACCACCCCACCCACCCAATATAACCAAAATGGGAAGTGGGATCAAGGGCTTACAGTGGTGAGGCACGGAGGGAGGGAGGGCAGTGCCACAGGAGTAACACCTGTACAAGGTCAGAAGACATTAGGGGCATAAAACCAAGCAAGGGCAGTAGCTCCACAGCCAATATCGACCATTAGTCCCTAACAGTGCTACCTAAACCATGCGCACCATCCTTCCCACAAAGCGAGCCAACAGGCGGGAATCCACACAAGGGCCACTGCTACCCCCGCCCCCTAAGGGACGCGAGGCAAAGTAAAGTATAGAGTCACCGGTAACACGGACTAAAAGTTGGGATCGGGGGAGCAAGTTGATGCCTCTCTGCCAATCCAACGCCCGCAGCCCCCCCTAGATAAGTGATAATTCCAAACCTCTACGATAAAAACCCACTTGCCCATCTCCGCATCAAGAACACAGGTTTGATGGTATGCTCCCTCTGATCCTACCGACACTCCACTTGAGTTAGACAACCCTCAAAACAAATCCCCAAGGTAGCCTAGATTAGAGCCGCTGGCTTGGGGTGGCGCCCACTGACTCGGCCAGGAAGCCAGAACCGGACTTCCCAACCCCCCAGATAGGGAGAGCTAGTAGGAGGAACTAGCGGGTTGAATTGCGCCCTGATGGACGACCAGGGCACAAGGGCCAGATCTATAACAATGTTATGTTTATGTTATTGTAAATATGTTAAAGGTTTTCGATTCACCTATGCTCAAAGGCAAATCACACCATCTATATCTGTATGCAATTCACACAAAGGCAGGGTTAACATTCCACTAGTACACTATATCCGCCTTATAGAACCGAATACGGTACATCCGCCACACCTACACATAACAAAAAACACCCCCAGCCACTCTTCTCAGAGCAAGAGCGGCGACCCACCGTTAGCCACCACTCGAGACAGTGAAGACCAAGACAGCACATCCAATTCCCACATACATTCAGTCTAAAACTATACTCCCACAATGTACAGGGATTAAATATCCCACAAAAGCGTCACACTCTGAGCAGGGAACTTAAAAAAACGCATGCAGACATAGTATTTCTCCAGGAAACACACTTTAGAACCGATGCTCACCCCCACGTAAGTCCTAACATGTACCCCCACCAAGCACATTCCACCACCCCGAGAAAATCTCGAGGTGTCTCAATTCTCCTCAGCAAAGACCTCACGATCATATCACACAACCAATTAATAGACCAGGGGGGGAGATACATCGTATGGCACTGCACCATTAACGAAATAGAATACACACTGGCGAATATATATGCACCAAACATCAACCAAAGAAATTTTCTGCATGCAGTCCTCTCTAAAATTGAAAAAATAAGAAAAGGCACTCTAGTCATGAGCGGGGACATAAACCTTGTGTTGGACCCCACACTAGATTCAACTAGGCCGCCCACGTCGCCCCACTACAAAACCATGAAAAAACAAGGCAAAAGCCTTGGGAACTTACTAGCCACATATGGACTGAGAGACGTGTGGAGAGCCCTCCACCCTTCAGAAAGGGCCTATACACACCACTCCAAAGTACACAATACGTACTCTAGAATTGACGGGTGCTTCATGCACGAATCCACAATGTCCAACATCTTAGAATGCGAAATTTTGACCGCTGACTGGTCAGATCATGCACCAATGACACTATCATTGACGAGCTCCTATGACTACAAACACAGAAACCCATGGCGTCTCAATGACTATTTAATCAAAGATTCACAATTCTGTAAAACCCTAGAAAAAGAACTACATAACTACTTTACCACTAACGCCTCAAGCGACCTAAACCCCCACATGATCTGGCTTGCACACAAGGCGGTACTGAGGGGTTCATTAATAAGCAGAGCCACATATCTAAAGAAACGATCAGAAAAAGAAACTATGCAATGCGAACAAAAATTGGCAGAGCTTCACAAAAATAACCAAAAACAACCATCAGCAGAGCACAAAACACAAATCAATTCACTCCAAAACAAACTAAGTGAGATTAGACTCCACAAATTTGGCCTCATGCTGAAGCGCTTAAACACACGCACATACGTCCAAGGTAACAGGGCCAGTAAACTTGTAGCACAACACCTAAGAGAGAGACAGCAACAAACACGGATAGCACATATCCTAAATAAAAAGGGCCAAAAAATCCACCTCCCCTCAGGCATTTGTAAAGAATTTGCCCAATATTACAGCCAATTATATAACCTCTCTAATGATCCGACTACGCCACAGCCCACGGAGGCTGGTATACAATCCTACTTATCAAACATCCCGCTACCAACTCTATCCAAAACCCAGCAACAACTTCTAGAAGCTCCCATTACAGAAAACGAAATTGTAGAATGTATAACATCCATGCCCCTAGGGAAAGCACCAGGGCCAGATGGCTTTACGAACGAGTACTATAAGAAATTCGCTCCACTCCTGGCCCCACACCTCAACAGGTCTTTCAACCACGCTCTTCAGACAGGAAGCTTCCCAGCGGAGTACTTGGCAGCTAGAATAATTACCCTACCGAAACCAGGTAAACCCCCGACACACTGCCAAAATTTCCGCCCCATATCATTACTAAACTCGGACACCAAACTGTACGCAAAAATTTTAGCTAACCGACTCAAAAACACCCTCCCTGACCTTATTTCAAATGACCAAGTGGGCTTTGTACACGGAAGGCAAGGCTCAGACAATACACGAAAGGTAATAGACATAATACAGTCGATACACATGGACCGGACCCAGGGTCTCATAATCTCCCTAGATGCAGAAAAAGCATTCGACAGACTGAATTGGCAATTCCTAGAGGCTACTCTGAAAAAATTTGACTTTCCACCCACTTATCTGACAGCAATCAAAGCCCTATACAGCTCCCCGAACGCCGCGGTATCATCCTCAGGTTCCCGATCAGATCCATTCAACATCACAAATGGGACTAGGCAGGGATGTCCCCTGTCACCACTTCTTTACGTGTTAGCCCTGGAACCCCTCGCGGAAGCCATTAGACGTAACTCAAACATACACGGCATAAATATAGGAGACAGAGAGTACAAACTCAACCTATTCGCAGACGATGTCCTCTTAACACTATCCCAACCATTGATCTCCCTCCCAAATCTACAAAAAGAACTTCAATCCTAGAGCGCACACTCATACTACAAGCTAAACACCACTAAAACCCAAGCATTGGGAATAGGCATAGAAGACAACACAATGACCAGACTCAAAAAGGCATTTCAATATGACTGGAGAGAAGACCACCTCACATTTTTGGGAATCAAAATCACGAAAACATATAACTCACTTTTCACAATGAATTACCAAAAACTCTACACAGAAATTGTAAATACATTAAAGACCTGGGAAGGCAAATACCTATCGTGGGTGGGTAGATGTGCGGCTATCAAAATGATGATTCTGCCAAAAATTCTTTATCTATTCCGAACACTACAAATACCTGTCCCCGCCAAATATTTTAAAAACCTCCAGACAACTCTTTTGAGATTTGGATGGCAAAACAAAAAACCCAGGGTAGCATGGCGACTCCTGTCACGGACAATAAGAGAGGGAGGACTGGGATTTCCAGACGTAAGAGAATATCACAGAGCCACGCAACTGGCAAATGTGCTACGGTGCCACTCTAGAGCACAACCCCCACAATGGCTGGAACTAGAATCCAGCAGACTAGAAGGGAGGCACGTAGCACACCTCATATGGGCCCCAAGGGAAATACGACCCCGCACCCCCCAGATGTTGCCGACAACCAAACTCATGCTATCTATTTGGGACAAAAACAAGCACA